GTTGGGGTGGGTTGGTGGGTGGTGAGGGGAGGGGGGGGAGGAGAAGGAAACATCGAGCTGGCACCGGCGACACGTCGCCGACAGATCGGCGATGGGCGCCCGATGGCGAATCCGCACGTTCCCGGGCGGGGTTGGCTACCAGGCCCCCATCGGCTAGGAGTGAGCGATTGGGGCCGATCCCCCCCCTGACTTGAGCAGGGGCCGACCGTCCTGGCGTATCTCCAGGCCTACCACGAAGGCTTCTCAGGCCCCGATAATGTTCTGAGAGCAATAACAATGTTCTTGGCACGTGAGGCCGACTAGTCAAGGCAAGATGGCCCGGCCACAGGTGCCCTGAGAACACGCCGCACGTCGTGCGAACCCCAAACGGCTCTTGTAGCACTCTGGGGTGGGCCTGCAGGCAGGCCAGGACGCCTCGCCGCTGCTTGACTGACGCTGCCCCGAAGCCGCGCCGCAACAGAAAGCTCGACGTCGGACGTGGAGCAGCGAGGGGGAGCAGGAGTCGGAGGAGGGGGAGCAGGAGGACGAGGGAGCAGGAGGAGGAGGAGGAGGAGGAGGAGGAGGGGGAGGAGGAGGAGAAGGAGGAGGAGGAAGGGGAGGAGGCGAGGAGAGCAGAGGAGGAGGAGGAGCAGGAGGAGGAGCAGGAGGAGGAGGAGGAGGAGGAGGAGGAGGAGGTGGAGGAGGGGGGCTGCCACGACACGAGCAGCCCTGGAGCGCCCGCGGAACGGCCCCGAGCGGTGCGGCCCCCTGGCTCGGCCGTGCGTGTGCGCCGGCGGACACGTCCCCTCGCAGTGTCGGCCACGGCAGGGGAGTGGAAGGGCAGCGAGGGGAGTGGACGAGGGAAGCGGAGGAGGAAGGAGGAGGAGGGCGGAGGACGAGAGGGATGGGGAAGAGGGAGGAGAAGACGGAGAGAGGGGTTATGGGGGAGGAGGGTGCAGGAGAGAGGAGGCGGAGGAGGATGGCGGAGGAGGAGCGAGGCGAAAAGGCGGAGGATGGATGTGGCTCTCGCCATAGCGCCGCGCACATTTATGTGAAATGTTCGCATCAGATGTACGGGCGAGTATAAGATTGTATTCAGGAGCGAATATAAGATTGTCAGGGCACGGCGGTATCGCTGATTCGCGGTGTTGACTTCCTCGGAACGGCGTTCTGGCACGATCTAGGACTGTCAGGACGCAGTTGTCACGTTGATTCGAGGAGTTGAAGTCCCTGGTATTGTGTTTTGGCACGAGTGGGGACCCTCAGACGGTTGTTTTCCAATGCGGCACTTCCAGCAATGCTATCTAATTCTTCTAGGGACCTGTGAAGAAGACACTACGAGGGAGCATGTATTGCAACATCGTTGATACGTCTTGGGTTTACACTGGTCCTCCTCCTCGTCCTCCAATTCCCTTCCTTGAATCACTCATCCGTCTCCCCAGCCTCCTTCTCATCCCCTCCTGGATATCCATCGCATCCCCTTCCATTCAGTCCCACTTCATTCCGTGTCGTTCATCATCCTCCGTCTACTCTTCGCTCAAGACCAATCCCAGAACCCATCCTGAGCGCCATTCCGACAAGGAGCTGCGTACAGCAGTGGCCACAAGGACACCCGAAGTGGTCGAACAAAGCCACGGAAACATCCCAAGGCCTGGGCCACTGATCGTCCTTCTCTTTGTCCCCCTCGTCCTTCTCTTCCTCCACCTCCGCCTCCTCCTCCTCCTCCTCCTCCTCAGGCTGAGGGCACTCCTCGTTCTGTAGTGCACGACCCTGCCACGAACAGATACAGGTGCACATGCTGTTAGCCATCCAGGAAGCACCGATGGGAGCTGGCAAAGCAGCCGTGCCCCATGCCACGTGGGACAGGCCATGTTGTGCGACGACTCGGGCAATGTGTATTGTGCTGTCAATGTTCAAGGGGCCCCAGGACACACAAATAAATACACACAAATAAAAATATGCCCAATCTTTTCCCATATTTTCTGGGTTTTTGTCTTCCCCCCCCCACTTCCCATATTTTCCCATATTTTCTTGGGGATCGACGATGAATTGTGTCTGTGTGTTTTTTTCCCTCCTGAAATGTGGCGCCCACTCGTCGACCAGCGTCTCCCACATGACCAGGCTTTGCCTCAAGAGACCTGCTTCTGCTATTCCAGAATACCGCTTCCAGCATTCGATGGACGGGCGACACCCTACGGCAAGTTCGTGTCGTGCCGACCCCAGCGTTGGTTTTTGACACCGCGCTGGATCGTTCAACCTCGAACGATCGGCCGTCTCCGCAACGTCCAATCGTTCAACATCGATCGATTCCGGGCCGCCGGCGGCGTTCAACCTTGAACGCCCGCGCTGGGGTCGCCGCTGGTCGACACGACGCAAACCTACCGTAGGACAGGACCCCCCCAATTGGCGATGTCCATCTTGTCGGAGTCGCCTTTCAGGGTAATGTTGCTCCAGTCCATTACGGGAATCCTTGACGCATGATTGTTCCTCTTGCTCTTGTCTTCGTGGGACGCGCCGGTCCCGTGGCGCGCAAGATCCAGGTCCAGATCATCCACCTCCTCCTTCTTCTCCTGCCGCGTGCGCCAACCTCCTCCTCCTTCTCCTCCTCCTCCTCCTCCTCCAATTGTCACCCTTATTGTCATATTCCTCCTCCTCCTGCTCCACTGCGTCGTCCTCCTCCTCATCCTCCTCCTCCTCCTCCTCCTCCTCCTCCTCCTCCTCCTCCTCCTCCTCCTCCTCCTCCTCCCCCCCCCACAACTCAACCGCCCCTCTTCCTACTCCTCCGTCACCTTCGGACCTGTCCTCGCGTATGTTCTTGCCAGAATCCCAATGCAAAAGCCAGCCGCAGCCCGGGGAGCCCTCCAGGGAGCCCATGAATGCCCGAAGTTATCCCAGAACATTAGTCCACTATCGTATCCTCCTCCCCCTCCTCCTCCTCGTCATCATCCTCCTTCTCCGTTCCCTCCTCCTCCCTTCCTCTTCCTCCCAGATCCACCTCATCCATCCCTCTCCCTTACGTAGCCTCTTCCTCGCAGCGCCACCAGACGCCAAAAGACGTTTTGGTAGGGCGGACTGGGCGTTTTCGCCTGAGACTTGCTCACAACCCATGGCCCTGAAGCGTGGCACGTCCAACAAATTCATGGATCGAGGGCGCATGGTTGTCAGACAGATGTGACTCCCGTCTCAGCGCCACGCGCAGTCGGTGCACAAGCCTCTAAGAGACATGTGTGGATGGAGGGCGGCTTGTTTTTAACACGTCGTTTCAGATTCAGTGCCGCGCCCCTCCGCCCTAATAAAGCAAAAGGACACCGACTCCACGGAGGGACGGCGGGTGTTTTTTTTCCAGGTGCGGCCCTCGCCTCAGCGCCGCGCACACCCGTCTCGTATTCCTCCAACAGTACGGCAGGTTCGTGTCGTGCCGACCCCAGCGTTGGTTTTTGACACCGCAGGGATCGTTCAACCTTGAACGATCGGCCGCTGCCGCAACGTCCGATCGTTCAACGTCGATCGATTCTGGGTCGCCGGCGGCGTTCAACCTTGAACGCCCGCGCTGGGGTCGCCGCTGGTCGACACGACGCAAACCTACCGTACACGGCTTGAGGGCGCATCCTTTCTCAGATGGGGCTCCCACTGTGGACCTCAACTGCACTGCCAAGATCAGAAGCTGCGCAACGACTGCAAAAGTCCGAGGGCAGCCTCTCTTGAAAGATTGGGCTCTGGCGTGAGCCCCCTTCAAACTTCGTGACTAGAGATGTAGAACTACGCCACGGTTACACGGGCGTGGGGCGTTGCCTTCTCAGCGCGGGGCTCGCGGGCTCTTGCTGAAAACACTTCCTGGAACGGTGTGATCCTGCCTCCTGGCACTTCTTGCAGCTAGAAAAATGCAGGGAGGCTCCTTTTCACAGACGGGATCTCGCCTGAGTGGCAGGCCCATGGGACGTGCGTCTTTCAAGTGGGATAGTCCCGGAGTGGGGAAAATGCTGAAATGGACTTGAGGCATGAGGAGGGGGCTTGGGACGGGAGGGTATGCTGTAGCACCGCTGCTGCATCCCAGATGTACTCGGGCCCTCCTGCCCTTCCCTCGAAAACCACCCCCTGAACCTGTCCTGGAGTGCGCTCTCACCGCAATCCCACCAGCCCTCTGGGCGTGGGTGGTACACCCTGCGAAATGATTAAGAAATCATGGGTTAAGAAATTCATAGTCTCAGAACTTGAATAACAACCCAACATTTCCATTAAAATCTTAGGATTTACATTGAAACATTAAGAATAATCGAGACTCTGGCCGAAAACTTAAGTTTTCTTAAGCATCGCCTAAGGTGTATGCCCTCACCCGCCCTTTGATCTCTATCCTCCACGTTGGCTCCAAGAGGGCGGCTAGTGTCCCCAAGTGACGCCCCAGAGAGAGCCACAAGGGACTGCAAAGAGCCCCAGCAGCGCCCACAGATAGCTCCAAGAAGTCTTCAAGAGGCTCCCGGGTCGAAAGATCCGGAACGGCCTTTATGGTTGACTCCTGCTTCTGCCCAGGCTGCTCCCGAGTTTCGGTTTGACGGCTGGCCTCCCCTTTGCTCCACTGCATGCTCACACGCTTCCCCAATGGAGGCAACTCGCCTTGGTGTCGTTTCTGGGTGGGTTGGTGGGGATGCGCGAAGCGTGAACAATTTCAAAGCGGATCCAGCCGTGGCCACGAGGGTGTCACAGGAAACCTCTAAACCTCGAACAAAAACGCCCCCGACCGATCCTCCTCTCCTCGCCTGTGCGCTGCAGCTGAGGCAGACATGGCACTCCAACGCGCCGGAGACTCCTTCCTCCTCCTCGTCCTGCTCCTCCTCCGCCTCCTCCTCCTGAACCTCTTCCTCCTCCTCCTCCTCCTCCTCCTCCTCCTCCTCCACAACTCCCTCTCCTCCAGGAGGACGAGCGAAGAGGAGCGTTCTGGAGCGTTCTGGCCACGCCCGAGGCGCCGTACTACGCCAAAAAGGACGCGTGCACACCCCTGGGCGGGCACCGAAGCCCCCGACGAGGGCCTCACAGCGTACACTCGAGAGAGAGAGAGAGGGAGGGGCGATGAAGGAGAGGGAGGAGGAGGAGGCGGAGGAGGAGCCACACGTTCTGCTCGGCCTCCTCCCCCAGAGGAGGAGGGCGAATGGAGGCGAGGAGGTGAGGCGAGAAGGAGAGGCGAGGAGGAGAGGCGAGGAGGGGTGGCGAGGAGCAGGGGCGAGGAGGAGGCGGAGGAGGAGCCACCCTTTTTCGGTGCTCGGCCTCCTCTCCGCAAATGGCCCAAGAGGGGCACACCTGGCGCGCCGCTGCGCCGAAGTCTGTGCGGCATACCTCGCCGCGCATCGGATGTGGCGGGAGCCCGTGCGCCCCAGCTCCGCCTCCGACAGAAGTGAGCCCTCCCCTGAGCACCGCGCGAGCGACGAAAAGAAACGGGCCGTACGACGCCGCACCAGAGACGAGGGCGCTCACGCGCGACCCAAAGCGGGCAGCTTGCGCTGCCAGTGCCCGCGCAAACGACCCCGTTTCTTCTGCGTCGCTCGGGTGGGGCGGGAGCGCCGCGCGCCCCGGCTCCGCCTCAGATGAGATGAGCCTTCTGGCGCCGCAGTCGGTGAGCCCCTCCTACCCCAGAGGGCCAGGGGATGGGAGTTTCCGGGGAGGGTCGAGGATCGAGGATGGAGCACGGTACTCTGCCCTTGGTGTTGGGTCGGGCATGTCTCCCTACCTGGCGGAGGTTGGAGAAAGAACAAAAATAGCAGCAGCAGCAGCAACAACACGTGCTCAAACACAGTCCTACAATACTAGAAACATCGTCCCTATACTATGTTTTGGCTATTTTTGAATAATCCTCCTGTGGAGGGACGTGCCCGGCTTAACATTGGTGGGGCGGGGCCGCCAGGAGGCTTCTCGTCGCCACGGCTGGCTTACCCCTCGAAGTCCCAGCCAGGACGCACCCCAAAAGAGAGGAAACTGGTGGGGGCCGTGGTTCAGGGAGGCGCACGGGGACCCGCAGGCAGAGAGGATCGGGAACCAAAGATCGAGCATCGAGGGAGGAGGCTCGATACGCTTCGTCGCCATACTCTCGGCCTTTGGAGGCCCGTTCCGGGCCCAGGGGGCCATCAGAAATCGATAGAGGGGGGAAAACATGCCAAGACTGAGCCCGGGAGGAGTCCAGGGCCAAGATGGAACCCAGGAGGAGCCCAGGGATCGAGTTGGAGCGAATCTGGCGCATCGAAGATCAAGGTTTTCGGACGTTGTTGAAATGTATTATTATTGTTACTCTCCTTCTCCTTAAACTTATAATCATTGTTCTTATTATGGTTCAGCCTCCGCACCCGCATGGCCACGGCTAGACTGGATAAGCCTCAAAATTCTACGAGGGGTCTGGGAACTTATCATGGGTCAGAAGTCCACTGGTTGGGGCATGCCGTACATCTTTTTGGGGCCTCCTGGGGCGCCCTCGTGATCGCGGCTGGATCTGTCTCGAAATCCTGGCTCGAACTAGACAGGTCCGGGGGCCTATTCCTAGGAGGCAGCACAGTGCCTCCAGCATCACAGCTGGCCTTTCCCTGGGCCTGGACCTCCGGAGGCGCCCCTCTGGCCCCCGCGGGCAGTCAGAAAACGATCCAGGATGGGGATGGAGAGGCTTGGGGGGCTCGTAGAAATTCCGTGAGTAGTTTCTCTGTAAGGGTTCGATATATATGTATATATATACATATACATACAGAAACATATGCATAGATATGCACATCGATATGATATGTATATACACGTGTCTTTGGGGGGAGAAGAGGGAGGGAGAGGCGAAAGGGAGAGATCGCACACGCCTGAACATTGTCCAACTCGTGCCGGGGAGTCGGCAGGCACACCTGCCGCAGGACCATCATCGCCCTTGCCTCCCGAATGAGACCTGCAGGAAACCAAACTGCCACTGATACGAAGCGCTTATGAACAAGTCGGGCCGCAGTTGCATACATGTGTGTCATGTCTGTATATACATATACACACATGTACCTACCGACCTACATACATACATACATACATGCATGCATGCATGCATACATACATACATACATACATACATACATACATACATACATACATACATACGTACATACGTACATACATACATACATACGTACGTACGTACGTACATACATACATACATGCGTACAAACATACATACATGCACACATATATACAAACAGACATGCATGCATACACATACATACATACATACATACATACATACATCCATACATACATGCATACAAACAAACATAAATACATACCTGCATGCATGCATGCATGCATGCATACATACATAAAGACAGGTACATGATATTCTGACGCCCAGTAAGGGAGCCCTGGTCCCCGAGATACAGGCCTCAGGTGGCCCCTCGGGCCCCCACCCCTATCGTGGCTCCTCACCGTGGACCTGCGGAGCTTTTTACGTAGGATCTTTTGCCGCAAGGGTGCCACTTAATTGGCGCGTTCTTTGGAGTTCCGCGGTTTCGGTGGCAACTC